TAGGCTCTTTCCATGTTTTAGCTATTGTGGAGAGTGCTGCTATGAACATTGGGGTACATGTGCCCCTATGCCTCAGCATTTCTGTATCCCTTGGGTAAATTCCTAGCAGTGCTATTGCTGGGTCCTAGGGGAGTTCTATTGTTAGTTTCCTGAGGAACCTCCACACTGTTTTCCAGAGGGGCTGCACCAGTTTACATTCCCACCAACAGTGTAGGAGGGTGCCCGTTTCTCCACATCCACGCCAGCATCTAGAGTTCTCTGATTTGCTCATTTTAGCCACTCTGACTGGCGTGAGGTGGTATCTCAGTGTGGTTTTGATTTGTATTTCCCTGATGAGGAGGGATGCTGAGCATCGTTTCATGTGTCTGTTGGCCATCTGGATGTCCTCTTTGGAGAAGTGTCTGTTCATGTCTTCTCCCCTTTTTGAAGCCTTCCAAATTTAAGGATTGTGAGAATCTTATGACTTGCTCACCCCTTACTTCCTATCGGAAGGCCTATATTGAGAAATAACCATTAACTTCTAAAGAATGTGGCAAGGCCCTTAATCAGAGGTCAAGCTTCATCCTACATCACATAATTCATACTGGAGAAAAAACTGACAAAAGTAAAGAATGTGGTAAAAGTTTTAGGACTGCTCAACCCTTACTTAGCATCACAGAGTTTATACTGAGGAGAAACATTACAAATGTAAAGACTGTGAGAAGCCTGTATCTGGAACTCACACTGTGCTCCCCTCACGGCTATCCATCTTACAGGATAGAAACAATAAACCATAGAGGAACCTGCAGTGCTTGTGAGTAGAATTTTGTCCTTAATCAATACTGCAAAGCTCACGCTAGATGTAAACCTCACAAACATAATGAATGAGGAACGTCCTTCATGTGAAATGTACGCTTTAGCAAACAGCCAGCAGTGCATAAATGAGAGTTACTTGAAAGATATAAATATTTAGAAAAATATTTTTTTTTATTTCTAGGAGAGAGAGAGACAACGTGAGCAGGGGAGGATGAGAGACAGAGGGAGTCACAGACTGAAACAGGCTCCAGGCTCTGAGCTGGCAGTCAGCACAGAGCCCAACGCGGGGCTCGAACCCACGAACCGCGAGATCATGACCTAAGCAAAAGTCAGACGCTTAACCGACTAAGCCACCCAGGCGCGCCTAGAAAAGTATTTAATGGACCATCAAGTGTCAATAAATTTCCCGGAAATCACAGTAGAAAGCAGAACGTCAGTCACTCTATTCAGACATTACATCAAAACACCCATTATTAGGAATAATACAAAGTGAAAGACTTTGAAAATGTATATGTTATTATGCCTTAAAAGATTAAGTAGATCAATTTTTGCATAGGTATGATTAATCTCAATATATGCTTTTCCCCCCTCACACTGAGTTTCTCTGACGTTTGTAACCAGCAAGTATTAATGTATTTCTACTCTCAATTTACTTCTGAAATTCATTTCTTCCTAGTGGGTTTGGAAAATCACGTGGTCGATTATTGCTGCCTCAAAGATATGATGTGCCCTTCTTTAGGTAAGTCTCATTCATCATTTTCTATGGAAAACATGACACCCAATATATAAAGCACATCTCAATGCAGATGCTGTTTGTGGTTATGAAATTGATGTAAGTTATCATGAAATAGATGTTCCTAACATTGTTTTTCTTCCTGTATTAAAATTAAAAATCTTCTTGAATATTATATATAAAATAATTTGCCAACTGGTCTTTAGGGAAAAACGGGGTTGCAGTGCAGTAAAACACTGGTATATCTTTATCACAGCAATAGTTGGAAGTAGAGAATGTCAGTTGATGTGGTTCAAACGAAGAAAATCTCACAGATATCAGAGGAGCGCTAACTCTTCCCCAAATGGGATACAATTGTACATTCACATTTTAAAAGAATGACCTCAGCCCTCAAAATTGGGAAGTCTGTGTTACCACATCATTATTTCAATAAATACTTTTTTAAAATTTAATTTATTTTTTTGAATTTACATCTAAGTTAGCATGTAGTGCAATATTGATTTCGGGAGTATATTCCTTAAGGCCCTTACCCATTTAGTCCACACCATCCCCACAAACCCTCCAATAACCTTCTGTTTGTTCTCCATATTTAAGAATCTCTAATGATTTTCTCATTCTCCCTGTTTTTATGTTACGTTTCCCTTCCCTTATGTTCATCTGTATCTTAAAGTCCTCAAATGAGTGAAGTCATATCATATTTGTATTTCTCTAATTTCGCTTAAGATAATACCATCGAGTTCCATCCACATAGTTGCAAATGGCAGGATTTCATTCTTTTTTATTTCTGAGTCATACTCCATTGTGTGTGTGTATATATATATGCCACATCTTCTTCATCCATTCATCCACTGATGGACATTTGGTTTCTTTACATACTTTGGCTATTATTGATAGTGCTGCTGTAAACATTGGGGTGTATGTGCCCTTATGAAACAGCACACCTGTATACCTAGGATAAAATACCTAGTAGTGCAATTGCTGGGTTGTAGGGTAGAAAATATACTTTTAATACAAACTTAAAAATAATAAAATGAAACCTTTTTGTTTGCTGGATTCTAAAATATGGATTATACGCTTAAATTCTGTGTAATAAGAGGGATCTATTAACATAATACATTTATTAATGTTATAAGTCCTTAATTCATAAAAGTTTTCATTAGAGTTTTCCATGGTAGATTTTAATGAATATTCTTTACAACTTTATTGTCCATGAAGACATGCTGATAATTCAAAACATTCCTTTCTTCATGGGTACACAGTCACAGTTTCAAATTATAGATACATAGGCTCACCTGGATGTCTCAGTTGGTTAAGCATCCATTTCCTGATTTCAGCTCAGGTCATGATCTCATTGTTGGGATTTTCTCTCTCTGTTCCTCCCCTCCTTGTGCTCTGTTTCTTTCAAAATAAGGAAACTTTAAAGTAAAATTATAGTAGGTTTCCTTTATTTTTAAAATTATTTTCTTAATGTTTATTTAGTTTTTTGGGGAGAGGGGCAGAGAGAGAGGGAGACAGGATCCGAAGCAGGCGCCAGGCTCTGAGCTGTCAGCACAGAGCCGGACGCAGGGCTCAAACTCATGAACCATGAGATCATGACCTGAGTTGAAGTCGGACCCTCAACGGACTGAGTCACGCAGGCTCCCCAGTAGTAGGTTTTCTTTAAATAACTCATCCATTTGATGTAGAATTTTTGGGGTTATATTTTCCTTTATTCTGGTTTGAAGTTCCATAATAATATGCTTCCTTTTGTGTAGGAATTTTCAAAGCATCATTTAGGTGTGGTTTTCTTTTTACCTGAATATTTTGTTACAGAGTGACAATTTTCAACTCATTACATTTTTGGACAATGTGAGTGTAATCAAATATGCATTGGTTTTGTACCCTTTGCCATTAAAAGTATCTGTTTATTTTTCTGCAGAAATATTACCCATGCATACTTTGTGACTCACCTTGTGTGTTTCTTCCCTTGGATAGTGGTCAGTGAAGGTCGTAGCATGTCTACGTGAATTGTTATAATAACAGAATCAATTCCATCATCCCTTTATTGGTGAATCTATTATTAGTATGTATTTTCATTGTGGTTACCTTAGAGATTATTTAAAACATCTTACAGGTATAACAACTCTTATATGGGCTGCTGGCCCAATGTTGGTCTGATCCACTGTAGATGGATGACATTCCACTGAGGCTGATCCACAGCTGGCAGGAAACTCCATTCTGCTGGGGCCCCATGATGAGTGCTCTACTCTGAGGATTGTGCAAGGTACTGATTAGTTGGGGAGCAGTTCATCAGTCAGAGTTAGTATTTCTGCCTCAAACAGTCCCCCCAGTTTTTAGGCTAGATGCCCCTCTGTTCATTCACAGCTCATGTAGCATTTTCCCCCCATTGGGTGGGGAGCAGAAAGAGGATGTCTGTCCATTGTGGAGACAGATACCATGAAGTTGGAGACCAGGTTGTGCTCACATTTAACATTTGTATGGATGACAGTAAGGACGCATTTGGGGGTAGCTGTTATTTTGTGCTCCACAATACCATGAATGTGTACTTAATAGAAAAGAAGATGTGTATTTTGTATTATGTATACAGTGCGTGGATAGATGCTCATGTCTGATAAAATGGATCATCCATCCTATGGTCGTCTCTAGCTTTTCCATTTCATCCCTGTGGTATTGTCCACCTGCAGGCATTGTGATCACACTTGCTCATGGCCAGAGACACTTGCCCCACCGTCAGGTATCACACTGTGTTCCATGCAGCAAGGAGGAAGTGTAAATCTGATGGGACTTGGGGAATTTATTTTGCAACCACTCCTTTTTCACTCAGGAAAGACAATCCTTTTCAAAGCACTTCTCTCCCGTCTCATTGACCAGAACGTTGACAAACCACAACTCTAAGTAACAATGTATCTGTAACACAGGGAGATATGTGAGATTGTCAGGAATGGCCAGTGTTACCTGAAGTGTTTTAAGGCATCTGACACAAAGGACATCATGCTTTGCACTGTAATCAGTTGTCATGAAAAAAACCCCTGAAATTTAGAGTACGCCTACCCAGGTCCACAAGAATTTATCATGTATGCATACAGAGTGCTCATTCTTTATACTTGAGCACAAGGAGCTTCTTAAGAGTGCAATTATTTGTTGTCTTATAGTAAAAATCACGAAGTGCAGATTGGTATTGATAATGCTGCTATATTCTACTCCATTATAAAATACTATCTATTAATGTGTGGCTGTATGTGTTTCATATTTTATTTGGTGAAATATCTGAATAAATTCTAATTCATGTTAAGTTGTATTATTTCATGACAGAATGTGAGGATGAGTGCATTTCTAGGTGACTCCAGGATGCTCAAAGAGGCCATTGAGGAAAATGAGACAAGGAAGACCTGCAAACTGGAACAGACTATGTTAGAGTCAGACTCGTTGATGAATTTAAAAAATGTGGTGTGTGTGTGTGTGTGTGTGTGACACCACTAATCTCACCACAAACATAGAGGTTTCTAAAAGTAACTTTTATGTGCATAACTCAGGGATGGCCTGTGACTTAGTAATTGCAGAGACTGTCAAATTGATGTTGCATCAGATTTACCTGGAGCACCGATAAAACATCAGATTTCTAGGCCTTTCCCCATTTTATCATTTCAATAGTTCTGGGCTGTAACTCCCCATTTTTCCTTTCTCACAAGTTCTCAGTTGTTGCTTAAGGTCATGTTTTGGGAACCTACTTGGAGAATAAATGTCTGGGGGCATATTTATGGTTGTCATCTTGAATAAAGGTACTAGTCCATGGTGGTGCCTGGGAAGCTCAGTTGGTTAGGTGTTTAACTTCTGCTAAGGTCATGATATTGTGGTTTGTTACCTAAAGCTCCACATCGGTCTCTGCAGTGACAGTATGGAGCCCGCTTCAGATCCTCTGTCTCCCGGTCTCCCCACCCCTCCCAGCTTGATGTTGCTCTTTCTCTCTCAAAAATAAACAAAAACAGGGGCACCTGGGTGGCTTAGTCGGTTAAGCGTCCGACTTTCGCTCGGGTCATGATCTCGCGGTTCGCGGGTTCGAGCCCCGCATCGGGCTCTGTGCTGACTGCCAGCTCAGAGCCTGGAGCCTGTTTCAGTTTGTGACTCCCTCTGTCTCTGACCCTCCCCTGCTCATGCTGTCTCTCTCTCTCTCCTAGAAATAAATAAAACATTAAAAAAAATTAAAAAATAAACAAAAACATTAAAGAAAAATATTAGCCCATGAAGAATGCAGTCAGATATACAGATGACAAATGAACTGTTGCAGGTGGACTCTGGTCCTGGTTTCTAGATGTGAACGTGGGCTCATGTGTTTGGGCTTCTCTTGTGTGTTCAGCCTGGAAGGCTGACCACTGTACCTTGTCCTCAGTTAGTCAAATAAATACACACTTGGTTATTTAACATCGGCAGAAACGGAATCAGATTTATCCAAATAGCTATAGTTATAAAAGTTAAAATCATTAGAATAAAGCATCTATAACAGGGAATCATACATTTTAAGTACAATAGGGTGACTTTAGAGTTTGGTGAATAGTGTAGATTAGATTTCATTTTTCATGGAATCCGTAGCCCACAACTCATGGTTCCCTGCTGATTTCACTATTTCTGAATATAAATATTGAACCATGGAAAATGGCAGCTGTGTATTGAGAGTGGAAATGATCTCTCTGGTCCAGATTTTCACTGGACACTTGCATGATTTCTACCTCTTATGTCATCATTTCCTTTACTCTAGTGTAACTAGGGCAAGGTGGACAGGTTTTCTCAGTTACCTGAATGTAGGCAAGTGTTGGGCATTATCTAAGGGCATTATCTAAGGGAATCCCAGACACCTTAGCAGCTTTTGGTTTGAAACATTTTCTCCATGATTTGATACAGAACTTCCCCCCCACCCCCCAGCTTCTCAGAGAGTCCAGAGGTGAGTCCATTGGCAACTCTGGTCCTTGAGTGTCTTCCAGTCCATCACCATCAGTCCCAGGAACTCCAGGTGGGCAAAGTATTAAGTAACAGTCTCACCTTCCATTGCCCTTCCAGTATCCTCTGCTGGATCCAACCTGAGCTGGTAAATATCACAGCTCCTAGGTACATGTGTGACAAGAAGAACAAGAGATACATCGCAAACATTATAGGCTTTGGATAATGTTCTGATATACTTTGTGACAAGCACACGGACGTACTCTATGCAGCATTCAGATGTACCCAGATGTTTTGTTTCTAGGATTCATTATGGTTTTTATTCTGTGCATGCCCAAGCCGAGGGGTGAACACCTTTATAGGAACAGTATCTCACCTAGATTCTCCCCTGAGATAACAGCTACACCAAGAATTCTAGTTTTGGGGAGCACTTTCGTACCGTTTTATACCCTCTCTTCCACTCATTGTACCTTTTCTCTTTCATTAGATAAACTTTGGAGCCTTAACGAAAGCCTGATTCTCACACAGCAACCCTTTATTCTTTGGTGTGGTGACCACTGTGTATCCAGGTTATTCTCTCTGTGGGAGGCAAAAGAAAACACTTTTTGTCCCTGTCAGTCATTTATATATTCATGTCTGAGTGTTACGCACAATTACACGCAGTCACATTGTAGATAAAATGTGGGCAAGATAATCTAGTAATAAATAATAACGTATATCCATACAATGAATCTTTTTGGGGGCGCCTGGATGGCTCAGTCAGTTAAGCGTCCACTTTGGCTCAGGTCATGATCTCACGGTTCGTGGGTTTGAGCCCCACGTCGGGCTCTGTGCTGACAGCTCAGAGCCTGGAGCCTGCTTCAGATTCTGTGTCTCCCTCTCTCTCTGACCCAGCCCTGCTCATGCTGTCTCTCTCTCTCTCTCTCTCTCTCTCTCTCAGAAATAAATAAAAGATTAAAAAATTTAAACACACGGGACGCCTGGGTGGCTTAGTCGGTTAAGCGTCCGACTTTCGCTTAGGTCATCATCTCGCGGTTCGTGGGTTCGAGCCCCGCGTCGGCTCTGTGCTGCTTGCCTGCTTTGAGCCTGGAGCCTGTTTCAGTCTGTGCCTCCCTCTCTCTCTGACCCTCCCCTGCTCACGCGTCTCTCTCTCCTAGAAATAAATAAAACATTTTAAAAAATTAAAAAAAATTTAAACACATACAATGAATTCTTTTATAAGTATTATATAATTATCCATACAATTATGTAGTATTAATGCTTCTAGCAGATAAGGAGAGAATCTAGTCAGTACTAAACAGTTTGCCCTGAAAGACTGCAGAGATACTCAGAATATCTTTAGATGTGTATCTTTCAATATGAGGTATTATATTTGCCTAACATTTGCCTGGGCATGGGGTATTGGAGACAGTTTCACAATGGGGATTAACATATTTGGTGACCCTCCAAAATACTGGTGCCCCTGATGGTCAGGGCAGAATACCTAAGTGGCAACAAGCATGGGCTTTAAAACCTGCCAACTAGGTCCTGCCTTAATGAAACCCAGGGCAGGGTGGGGGTGGGAATGGGGAAGGAAGAGCCTTTAACATTGCAAGGTTAAGATCCACAAAATATCTAGAATCATGACAACTTCAGCTACCTATAACCTGTGATAATTGAAATCGAGGCTTCTTATTCCAGTGTATTCAGTGTATGAAATTTCTTTGGGCAGGCTTACGACTGACAGAGTGGGAAGAACCCAGAGTGAGGGGATCAGAGCCGGCAGCCAGCTCCCACCCTCACACAAAGCAGATCCACCCCCTTCTGAGACTGTGCCCAGGTCTACCTGGCTCTGAGATCTCCAGCCTTCCCAGGACAGATTAGAGGAGGTGAGATTCTGAGTCATTGTTCTTTCCGTCTCCCAGGGCAGTGCTCACAATTCCAAATATCCAGAACCAGAAAAATGGGAGCAGAGGACTATATCTTTTAATCCCTTCATTTCTCTTTTTATCATTAAATCCTGTTTTTCACGACCCTTCACCCAGAACCCTGTTTTCCATTCCTGCAGATTCACTAGTTGTTCAAGTAACAAAATATAAATGTATGTATTTTTAAAACATAATTACAACAGGGGCGCCTGGGTGGCTTAGTCGGTTAAGCGTCCGACTTTCGCTTAGGTCATGATCTTGCGGTTCGTGGGTTCAAGCCCCGCGTCGGGCAGTGTGCTGACTGCCAGCTCAGAGCCTGGAGCCTGTTTCAGTCTGTGACTCCCTCTCTCTCTGACCCTCCCCTGCTCCCGCTGTCTCTCTCTCTCTCTCTCCTAGAAATAAATAAAACATAAAAAAAAATTTTTTTAAATAAAAAATAAATAAAAAATAAAAATAAAATATGATTACAACAATGTAGCTAATTAACATGCCCATTACCTCATATAGTTAGGAGTCCTGATTTATTTATTTTTTAAAAACGGTTTATTTTTGAGAGACAGAGAGAGCTTGTGTTGGGGGAGGAGCAGAATAGTGAAGCAGAGATGCAGAATCTGAAGCAGGCTCCACGCCATGAGTTGTCAGCACAGAGCCGAACTTGGGGCTCAGACCCACAAACTGTGAGATCATGACCAGAGCCAAAGTCCAAAGCTGACTTGACTGAGCCACCTTGGTACCCCAATTTTTGATTTTTTAATTTTTTGTGAGAACATCGAAGATACACTCTTTTAGCAAATTTCAAGATTAATAGACATGTAATATGTGTAAGTTACCACGCTATACTTTAGATCTCCAGAGTTTCATGGATACCTGAAACTTTGTACAATTTGACCAACATCTCCCATTGTGCCCTCAGCCAGCTCCTGACCATCATAATTACACTCTGCTTTAGGAGTTCAACATTATTAGATTCCAGATATAATTGAATTAATGCAATATTGGCCATTTTCTGTGGCTTATACTACTTAGCATAATATCCCCTCATTATTCTAAATGGAAGGATATCCTTTTTTTAAAGGCTGAAGCATTTTATATATATATATATATTTTATATATCATTTATGATGCATCATATCTTCTATGATCTAACAATTTATAACACACATTTTCCATACAAACTCATAGAAAGCAGGGAAACTAGAGGGAGAAGACATGTCCTATTTTCTAGCATGACTATCTTTGAAGAAAGCAAACCTGGAAACAACAATGTGGAGGAATTAAAATATCATGTATTACCGATGAGGCTGTACATAGTACAGGAAACTGGCATTGATTGATACACTCAAACATTTATCATATTAAAAAATGTAAACACTATAAACACTGTCTGATTATAAAATCTATCTTCCTTTAAGTATTTTTCATTCATCAATATTTCATTTCTATATTAAAAATGTTTTAATGTTTTTTATTTATTTCTGAGAGAGAGAGACAGAGAGACAGCATGAGCAGGGGAGGACCAGAGAGAGAGAGGGAGACACAGAATCTCAGGCAGGCTCCAGGCTCTGAGCTAGCTGTCAGCACAGAGCCCGAGCTGGGCTTGACCCAGGAACTGTGAGATCATGACCTGAGCTGACGCTGGACAGTCACCTGACTGAGCCCCCCAGGCGCCGCAATATGAAAAAATTTTTAATACATTTTTTTACTTTAGGGCGAAAGAAGAGGAGACACATGGGTGGGGCCTCATATCACATTTTCATGGTTATTATAGGACACCTACTGTCCAACTAGCAGGTGATTATGAGGATTAAATCACATCATGACTGTGAGTTTCCCACAACTTCCTTGTGAACACAAAGTTAGTGCTTAATAAGCGCAGCA